GGCTGTTAATGGAAAGTCGCAGGTCCGTCAGCCTCGTTACAGCGAGGGGAGGAAAGGAGAAGGGGGGCGAAAGAATCATTAAACGGCGAGATCTCGGCGCGAATCTTCAAACTTCGTCTCGCTCCTTCGGGCTCTTCGGCGACGATAATCGCATTTTCGCCGGTCGTGCGTTACTTAAGAACGCAAATTACATTGCACCCCGAAGCATCCGATCGGTAATTCGGATTGAGACTGCCGACGTTACGTTATGGGGCTTAAAGGTGCCTTCACGTCCGCTCGAGAACTTTATTATCGTCTCACACACACTTCGATATTTTTAATCATTACTATCTCAATAATTTTTTAAAATCTCTTCCTCTCTTCCTCTCTTATCATATAATTTTTTTCAAGTAAATTTTCAAACAGTCGCTTTCACGAAAAAGAGTTAGTGATGTATTTACTTTATGAGTAATAGTTAGTGGTGTATTTACTAATGGTGTATTTTGATAACTTATAAAAAAAGTGAGTAGGACAATGCACTGAGAAAAAATATACTTAAGATATATAAAGAATATTTTTTCAGAGTAGATACTAATAATATATTTACTTATATTGATATTTTTCAAACAAGAAAATATACATTTCCTTGAAACCTTAGTTTTCTATGAAAGCAATTGCTTGTTCCATTTAAATGAAAAATTTATATAAGTAAACTGAGAAATAGAATATTTAAGAAGTACTTATTCGGTGACTACTAATAACATATCTACTTATACTAATATAAAATATTTTTTAAATAATAAAATAAACACCTTACACCAGTTTTCTTAAGATTAGGAAGAATGTTTATTTTGTTATTTAAAAAATATTTTATATTAGTATAAGTAGATATATTAATAGTCACCGAATAAGTACTTCTTAAATATTCTATTTCTCAGTTTACTTATATAAATTTTTCATTTAAATGGAACAAGCAATTGCTTTCATAGAAAACTAAGGTTTCAAGGAAATGTATATTTTCTTGTTTGAAAAATATCAATATAAGTAAATATATTATTAGTATCCACTCTGAAAAAATATTCTTTATATATCTTAAGTATATTTTTTCTCAGTGCATTGTCCTACTCACTTTTTTTATAAGTTATCAAAATACACCATAACAAATAACCCGCAGATTGCACTGAAAGAAGGAAAATGTTGACCTAACAAAAATTATGATTATTTTTGGCCCTAATCGTGTCTAGTTGTCCTAACACGAAAACAGCGGTGGAAACACGTGTATGAGATTACTATCACTAATTGCAATAAGATTTATTTAAAAACATGGTTTTTTTAACTATAATTTATAGTAATTATTTCTTCATGTGATTATATTCACAAATACCAAACATTCCTTTCTCAATGCAGACGACAGAATTTGGCTGTAGCAAAACGCGAATTTTCTTGCGGTCAACAATGTGTTAAGAAAAAGTACTCGGAGCGGTCGAATTACTCGTTCAATTTCTCATGCATCTCGCTGCGATTTCGACAGATAAGACTCGCACACTCGCCGAAGACTCGGATCGCGGCCGTCTTACGCGTTAAATTCCTTTTGTTTGAAAATACGACGATGACCGCGCGTATTCCCTTCATTAATAATTAATAACAGCGCGAGCGTGCGCCTTGTATACTACAGCAGACAGGGGCGAGGAGAAGAAGCAGAAGGAGGAGGAGAAGGAGAGGGAGATAGCGGCGAAAATCTTAATTACAGATTCGCCGCGTTGCATAATGCTCCGTCGTGACGTCGGCCGTTTTTTTCCCGCCGCATTTTTCCCGGGTTGAGAAGAAGCGGAGGCGGTTACTCCGCTTATCGATCCTTTATCGGAACCCCGGATCGTACTTCGTGTCCGGTCACGGGTGTACGGCGGATTTCATGGATATGCGTGTTGTACGCGCGATCTGCGCAGGTGTAAAAGGGCCTCGCTTAATTATCCCGAAATGAAGGCACGCTGACGTGCAGTAATTGTCGCGCGCGCCCCCTCCCCGTCCGGTCGGTCCGGCTGACTTAACGCCGTGGGCCCTTCTTCGCGGACCCGGCCGGTCGAAAGCGGCAACGCTTTCTCGCGAAGTTCCGCTTTGACGCGATCGTAAAATCGCCGTAGCGCGGCTCGTCGGCGAAGACGCGACCGCGCGATTTTTCAGGCCCAGCTGGCCGCGAGAGCACACATCAGGACCGAGCAAGAGTGAAAGAGAGAGACGTCACGCGAAACGAAGATGCGAGAACCGTCGGAAATGATACTTAATGTCGTTTGCGATGTGGTTCGACGTGTTATTACGGCGATTGCATCGAGAGTGCGCTGCTTTTCGCCCGGCACGTACGAATTCATTATATGTTCCGACACAATGCAGGCCGAATGTGTGCTTGCACGAGGGAACGATGTTATTATCGCTCGATCGGCAGAGATCGCGGATTTCTCACGAATGCCCGTGATCATTCTCTTGTACACGGTCACCTTCTGATATCGAGATGGGTACTTGCGTATTGGAATTGCAATCTCCATGTTCGCGGTCCAGCGCGAATCAACGATTCAGTTTCTAAAATGGCATTTATTGTAGCGCCGCGCGAATATACCCCAATCATTCTTAACACATTGTTGATCGAGATTGCATATGTATACACAGCCGTAGGATGAAGCCCAGTGGGATGAAATGAAATTTTATGTTTCAAAAAGGCTACAGTTTCGAACTAATTTCGATGATTTTTTTTATGAAAGCTAATGAGATTTGAAATATCTTTGTCGAATCAGATTCTCGTCTTTCGCCTTCCTTCTTCGAAATCAGACGTAAAGAAATTAAATTTAGAAATATTTTTTTTAATCAAACAGTAGATAATTTATATCTCACCTAATTTAACATTAGATACAGATGTTGAAATTAAGTATTCAAATTCTCATTATGTACATAATCAATTGAATTAATTAATAATTAATTTCATCAAGCAATTAAATTATTTATTTTATATAATTTTAATTATTATATTTTAGTATTTTTAACTACACATGTTGGTTTACCAATTATTTTAGTCAGTTGAAATTTTAATTGATTGCGTAGAAATTATAATCCCAAAGATTTAGGAATACACCTCCTAGTAGTAGCTACAAAATCAAGGTGCACTTTGATGTAAACAAAAATGTACCTGTGTCGATTTTTTCTCTCTCTCTCTTTCTCTCTCTCTCCCTTTCTAACCCCGCAGCGTTCTAACCCCGATTACTAGTACTCGCGCCGATACTCGCGCGGCGAAAGTGAAAACGCAAAAGGGGCTCCGCCGTGCCGCGGGCCGAACAGGTTTCCGGGCGAATTGAAATTCCATGCAGCGGCGGCGGCGGTGGCGGTGGCGGTGGTGGCGGCATTCTCATATACGCGGTGGCTCGTAATACTCGCGCGCGCGACGAGAGCGATTTTAACGGCGATGCCTCTTAATTGCCGTGACCGGCGTAAAAGAACACCGTGGAGGAGCCGGAGCCCCAGAATATGCACGGATCACGGAAGACGACGACGTGAGCACCTGGCCGAGCGACCTGGCCAGATGCGTATCGCGAACGACGCGGTTATTATTAATTCTTCTGGTTTTCTCCCGTTTTCTTTTTTTTATTATTTTTTTTTGTATACCTCCCCCTTTTCCGCCGCCGCCGACACACCGACGACGTCAGACACACCGCGATTAATATGCACGTCGCGAGAGGCGGTTAATTGGAGAAGAAGTGAGAGCGGGATTTTTATCCCTATCGTGCCAAACTCAGCGTGACTCGACGAGCCCTGTCGTTCGCGACTCGTGTCAGCTCGTGGTATTTATTTAAGTGAATTATATCGGCGATATGTTACAAACCCGAGCTGCCGCGCACCTCGTAATTTACGAGGGAAAGAGAGAAATAGCGTGGTCCTGGAGACACGCCTGCGTGCGAATCGTTATTTATTTTGCGGTCGTTTTAGTAATTTTACTTCATGTTATTTATACGTGGGAGTCATGTCGCGCTTTCTTTCGAAATCATTGACTATTTCGATCTTACCGCAGTATATTTATATTTTTTTAATATCTAAACTAAAACATTTTGGGGTAAGGTAGCACGGGGAAAATTACATCAAACAAATATCCTTTATTTACACATCGTATGTTACATTCATAACATTCGCAACTACATTCATAAACGCTACACCGAGAAAACAAATATCTAAAAAATAACCAATATTTATTTGATGGGTACTGATAATATATTTACTTAAGTCTGAATTCTCTTGTTTGAATAAAATAAACAAATGTTTTCACGAAATGCTAAGATTCGAAGTAAATACATATTTTCTTATTTGACAAATATTTTATATCAATATAAGTTAATACGTTGTGATATTGAAATGAAAGAGCGGCTGAGTTAGTGAGACTGTGCTTGAACAAGCAAAATTCGTCGAGCAAACATTTAGCCGATTAAACGAATTACATAGTTGCTGTGAGGAGTTTTGTGTGTGTGTGTGTGTGTGTGTGTGTGTGTGTGTGTGTATGTATGTGTGCCAATTAATCCAATAATTGCGATTTGGTCAGTAACTACATCAATGCAACTGCATTGTTGCACTAACGCGTAATTTGTTCGGCAGATACAATCTTTGAAGGCGAATGACTCGATTGAACCGATTGTATCGATTCAAATGCTTTTTCTTTCTCTCTCCCTTCCTCTTTCAGCGTATCACCCAGCGAATAAATGTTCTTTACTTCTTAAATGCTTGTCCTCTCGGTATACATTCACGCCGCATTCTCTACCGCTGGACTTACAAGCACCACACGCGCTGATCAGCTTGAAAATACACACGCAAACGCATCGATCGCGCGCACATTAACGTTCGCTGTCCACTCGTGGGTGCCGGAGGAGTGAGGGAAAATAGCGCGGGAAACACGATCCTCTCATCATCCACGCTTCGCCACAGCCTCATCCCCGAAGCCTCACGTCCTTACGTCCCTGCTTATCCTATAGAATGTCTTTTCCTGCTTGCAGGGGTAGCGGCACCGCCCTACCAGAATCTCCGGTCGACCAGGTCGGCAACGGATGGAGGTGAGTGATTTTTCTTCCCCTCTCTCTCCAGCTCGTCTTATAATCCTCACTTCGAAAGCTCTTGCTCCCGCTCGTCCTCCTCTTCTCCTCCCTTTCCTCCTCACCTCTCCTACTCGCCTGTTCTTGGCTTCACCACGGCTTGAGAAGCCCGAGAAAGAGAGAGAGTGATTCTCTCTGTGAATGATGATAGTAAAATGATTGCGTATTGCCCGATAAATACGACGATAAGTGCATATTAAGATGAGAACCATAGTATTTTGCACCAGAAGATATCAAGGAGAGTACCAAGTATTAAGACGAAAAGTGCACCGCAACTCCAAGTGTGTTATTGTCAGGCGCAAGCAATCTTAGCTGTAGCTCTTTTTGCACGTTTCCCGCGATTTAAAATCACGTTATTTAACGAGTTTAAAATGAATAAATTGTAATTTGATGAGCTTGAACGTGACTCGAAGCAGAAACATGCAAGAAGAAATTCAGCCAAAACAACACAGAGCTAGTCGATAGCTAATTATGAATGATTTAAGAGTAATTTAACCTCGCATTCTTAAAAATAGATGAGAAGCTCACGTTTACTATTCGGTGTCAAGCGAGACCTTGCCCTAATAGGATTTTAATCGGCGAACTACTCGAAAGTCTACTCCTCCTGATAGTGAACTCGAGTCAGAAACTCGCGAGGGGATATGTCGGAGAGCTGACATTAAACTTTCATCGAGGACAAGGCGATGACAATGAAACTGCGATATCACTTCATGATGTGAACTCGCGAGATCGAAAGAATTGATCGATCGTGAAGCAATAAGTACTCTCTTGGAAGACACGCAGGGACACGCTGATCTTCGAGTTTCGCCGAGAACAGGCCAAAGAACGGAGGTGCTTTCCGGAGCTGTCCTTCGGCGCGAAAATTCTCCAAGGGTGCGTGCTGCCGCTATTGATTCCGGCGGCTGAGCCACCCTTACGCACGCACCCTCGCAGCCTCTCTCTCTCTCTCTCTCTCTCTCTCTCTCTCTGTCGCGCGCGCGCTCCGAGCATCTCTCTCTCGTTGCCTTCGTCATCCTCTTCGCCTCCTCCACCTCCTCGTGGCTCCTCCCTCGCCATATTTCTCCTTCATCCCTCTGACGCTATCTCTTCTCATCTTTCGCGCTCTTTCTCTTCCCCGGAGAAGATCCCCAGGCACGAAATATCCAGGTCGCTCCTCCTCAACATGCTTACACCGATCCACCCGAAGGGGCTAAAGCTAACCTTCCTCCGCTACTCCCCTTCCGCCCTCTATCGCAGACTTCGCCACCGCACTCGTTCCAATTATTAAAGCGCTATCACGGAGTCATGTGGAGACTGGCGTCCTAACCGCAGGAAATTCAATTGCCGATACCGGTCAGATTATTCTCTAGGAAAAGAGAAAAAAAAAGCGAAGCTAGCCTGCTCTCACGTTAACAAACATTTATAAATACTCTTTAATTGGGGATTGTTGCAATTAATAGCGCGAAGTTAAGTAACACGTGCATCTTGGAGAATCAAGAAGTCTTCCTTCTCACGTTTCCGAATTTTTTTAGAAATTTTCGTTTCGGATTCAATTCAGTTGTCAAGAGGGAGAAGTGGATATTTATATTAAAATACTAGAGGCTTCTTTGTGTTCGTCGGAGGAGAAATCGCACCATAAGAGAAGTCCCTGCCTTTATCAGAACAAAAGCACGTCTGCTCATTCAGAAAACAAATCGGTCAGTTATCGTTACAAATCACTTTTCATCATTATTTGTCATTTTTGCCAAACATATACTACCTGAGATACAAGTCACATTTGTTCTCGTCTGTTCAGGTTAAATTAGATTATCTTTATTACAGAAGTGTTGCTTAGAGCAGCAAGTTGAAAGTAGCAAATCGCTTGTACTTCTACTAAGGGGTCATTCGCTATCCCATATCAACGAACAATTTGTTGCGAGTATTGATATCATTAGATTAGATTAGATTAAAGATTAGATTAAATTAATAAAACTTTTTTCTCTCGGTGCGACATCGCAATGTTTGCTAGTAGTTTATTCATCTTAGCTAATTTCTCATATCTCTATGACTTTGTTCAGGACTTTTTTTCTAAGTCTTTTGTCCTAACCTCTTTTCGAGAATGTCTATTATCTTCTCTTTGTTTCAAATTTTTCTCTGTATGAATTCCTCTCAATAATTTGTTTCGGCTATGGAGTCCTTTTCCACCAAGGAACCATTTGTCGTGGATATTCGTGTTGTTAAATTAACAAAACTTTCTTCTCTTCATACGCTTATTGAGGAAATAAGGATATGTAAGGATATATTAGGAGAGAGACCGAGTTTGGGCGCGCGCGTGCGCACGCACGCACGCACACGTTTCCCTTTCATTTACATCCGCCGAGCGATCGACCTTGAGCAGTCCTGTCGAAATCGAAGAGTCCTGCCGAAGGCCAGTCCGAAATCCATTAATTTTTATGCGCCCGGAAACCATTTGCCGATCCCACGCGCACTCCGGCCGCACGCTCCATTGATAGCGGTATTTACGAGCCGTGCACACACAACTATTAATTATCTTTAAACGTTACCTGAACCTATCCCAACCCTGTTCAAATTACCGTGAGGAACAAAGGAGCCGGTATGCATTTCCCGGTAACCGAAGTCAGAAATTTTACTTGTCGCGCAAGAAATCGATAAATTTGCTCCTCTCCCCCCGTCCATCTCCCCTGCCCTTAATTCGCGCTACGTTCGCAATTACAATTGGTGTATAATCGGAATACATCGAATATTAATACGTCTCCAGGATATTAATACGTCTCGTCAGAATAATTCTTTAATCTCCTCTGCACTTGATAACCTCAGAGTCGGGAGAATTTTTCACGGCGCGTTTGTACAATCTCTTTTTTTCTTTGTTTCTTTCTTCCTTTTCATTTACGAAGTGACGTTGAAACTGAAAGAAATCGCGAACGGCGGAAGACGCCAGTTTTCTGGGGAGCCATCGTGGATTTACGCTCGACCGAGGGGATAATCGATTGGCCATTCAGCGGAATTAGTTGATCGGGACAAGGTGGTCGATATACGCGGTGGCTTGTACGGTACGCTTGCGAAACGCGCGCCAACACGTGGTACAGAGGCTCATGGACAGGGGAGACAAAGGACATTAAAAAGGTGTCCACTGTCTCTTTCTTTCCCCGCTCTGTTTCCCTTTTCCGCCTTCGAGCGCGCTTGAAATCGCGTTGATGAAAGAGAGAGAGAGAGAGAGAGATAGAGAGGAAGAAAGAGAAAGAGAGGTGCGGTAATATACACTCATCATCGCATTTCATTGTTGCGTGTCGAGCAAAGGCGGGATTTATCATACTGATCGAACCTTCGTTTATGGATAACAGCAATTTGAAATTCGAAGAATCCATTGTCGAAAAGATAAAACGCTGTGAAATATACTTTAGAAGAATACAATGTCCACAGGAAATTCTTATCTTGAAGGGATACAACTGACTTGTAAGAACTTATTACTTACAAAACATTTCCAACCGTGTGCCTTTAAGATAATTATTTCCTTTGAAGATATATCCGTCCCTTTTTCCGCGTACAAAGTTCAGATTACATTTATTCTATACGCGTCTCTGCATATTACAAATTCCATTTTGAAACAAAATCTCGGAAAATCAAAGTCAATATTCACACAGAAAAACGCATACTGCATTCAAGTAAGTGTTACTTATTTCATGTATTTCATAAGTTTATATGTCCGCAAATCTGTCATAAGTTCGTCATGAACTTTAAATTTATTACGAAATACATTCTGAGTCATAATAAGTTCAACATTTCTTTTGAGAATATTAAATTAAAACAAGAATTCGTTTTGCTTATTGAAGTAGAATCGAATGAACTTTTTCTTTGAGAAAATTTAATAATATTCTTATATAAAGAGAATCAATTCTCTTCTTTTGAGTACATGCACAAGAAAAAAATACTTCAAAATTTATTTGTGGAGTATAAAGTTTATTCATACAAGTAAACTTTTTATTTTACAGAACTGAATTTTATATTCCACAAATAAATTTTGGACTTTTTTCTCAGTGTGATAATTATCTTTTCTAAAATTTATGATAATATTTGATGGCTATTATTAAAAAAATATTCTTTGTTGAAGATAACCATCATTTATAAAAGAAAAAAGTAAACTGAGTAATCGCTTTTCCCGACAGCAGAGCGAGATTTTTCTGTGTGTAGATTTAGCCGAGGTGAAATAATTTATTACTTTAGATCTTTGCGTTTGCGAATAAGTGCAGCAAGATAAAAAAATTTAATTGTTTGAACATGAAGAATGATGCTCTCTGCAATAGACTTTTGAAGAATTTAATGTCCATTAAAAATTCATAACCTGAAAATACAACTAGCTTGCAGAAATTTATTTTAGGAAACGCTCTTATTACTCTAGAACACTTGTATTTCCAATCGTGTATTCCTAACATATATTCGTTTTCTTTAAAGGTTTTTCTTTTTCCGGAATACGGAGATTCTTATTTATTCCACACGTGTTCGTGTAAAAATTCGTACTCCGTCTACACGCGCGCAGGATCAAAATTCACGTGATGTTTTTCTCTTTCCGTTCCTCTTTTCGCTCACGTAATCCAACAATCAATGTTTGTTATTCGTTTCCTCCCCATCTCGAGGATGCGCTCCGCGCACAGGTGTGTAGTATTCAGGTTAAACCGTCTAGAAGGCACCCTGGAGTTATTGTCGTTTCGATGAAAGTCATCAAACGACGATGCAGTCGTGCCGTGTCACTTTTAATGATCTCATTCCCGAGAGAGACTCATTGCAAAGCGCGAGGGAACAGAGGACTAAATTTGCGACGCATCGTCCGCGTGACATAGTTACTATGCCGCAAGTACCGGCGAAACTACGAGGGAGGAAGTAACAGAATACGCTTGCCCGGTCGTCACCAGCTGCGTTGCGCGCACACGCACTCCACACACGAACGCACATACACACACACACACACACACGTACATGCACGCACG